TGTCGAGCCTGTTAGATTTTTCCATACGACGTGTCGTGGGCTTGCTACATGCCAGCGAGATAAACTATGTCTAGAAGGAGAGAAAAAAGCGAATAAAATCGAAAAGATCATTTTCACAAGTGCGCGACGGGTGTAACACACGGATATCCGGGCACTCAACATTTTGTCATGAAAAAAGATTTTAAAAGAAGATGCGCGGTGAAAGCAAGGGAGAATTGTGTTGTCCGTTCGGACACGCGAAGGATGCACTTGGTCAGGATACACGCCCGCGTTCCCTCGCGATAACCGCCACCACCGCCTCTTGACAATGTCCTTTATGGAGCAAGTCGTCGCGCTCGACAAGACGCATCCATCGTCGCGTGGCATGTTGCACTTGGTCGTGTTAGAAAGGCCGGATGGAACGTCTTTATTTCCGGTAGTGCCGTTACCAAGGCGGAGGAGCAAGCTCTAAAAGCGTCGACGAAGGCTAAATATACGAATAAAAGAAACGGTCGGCCATCAATTTCCGAGCGAGCGCTACGATCTTGTTAACTAGGAACATCTCGGAGCAAGAGAGGAATCTTTTAATTGTAACAGGTTACGCAACGCACTCCCATGTAATAACAGTTTCGTTTCGAAATAGACCAGCTGCCTCTCTCTCTCTCTATTCGCGTCATACTGCGACGATAAAGCAAAGTGGATATTTTTAATAAAGGGATTACGCCACAGTGAATGTCTGAAAACATAAGGTAACTTTGGGAATTTTTTGTAGCTCAATAAGAAAATGAATGAAAACTCGGTTTCAAGGCCTGTCTTGTGCACACCTTGAACTATATAAAACAATTTCTTTTAATTTATTAACTTTATTTTATTATTTTAATATTTTTTTATTTCTTAACTTTAGCAAATTTCCAGGCATTCACTGTAGTGTAATCCCTTAAGAAAAGTATGATATCTCAAGCTTTTTAACCTTAATATCGTACATCCATTTATTTGATCTCGGTTTGGGATGGCAATTCTTGTTAATTTAAAATATTCATCGTTCAATTTAGGCGAATGAGATAAACGATACGTCAATAAATCCACATTTGAAATAAGAACAGAAGTGCAGTTATGTGCTGCGTGCGCGTGTGCTGCGATGCGCGACTCGCGATTAGCGCGATAGCTGGCGCGAGGTCTTTTGTTCGACGTAACAAATACCTGCAATCACGGGGAAGTATTATCGAGGAGCAGGCACATCGGGTACCAGGTACCAGACAAACTGGCACGAAGTGATTCACTCGAAAAAATCGCTAATTCTATCGCATCGTTAGAGAAATAAGAAGATTGCAAATTGCATATTTTCAGAGGATAATTTTTCACGAATAACGCCATATGGTTAAGTGTGTGGATGTCATCTGTGAAGCATTTACGAGGCATAAAACGAACGAGCAGATTGGCTTCTAATATTTCCGCGTGTGTAATTTTCATTTGTAGCGTTTACAAGTTTCGCCAGATTTGTTTAAAGTGTAAAAATTACGTAAGTGCCGGACGCGTAAATCAAGTTCTCGCGTGACAGTCCCATTGAACATACAACACATCCATGTTGATAAGAAATTCCACCTAACTGCATTCCACAAGATAATCAAAATGTCACTTGGAGTGAACCAGGAAAGACTGTGACGTGTGGTCATAATACAAAGCTGTCAACATTTTTATTGCGGCAAACCTTCCCTCCGCAGGAATTATGTAACCCACATTGAATAATTGTTGCATCAAAGTCGCCCGATCCATAGATCGTTGCAATCGTTAAGTATTACACTCGTCAATTGCCTCATATCTTTCTGTACATTTGGCGTGTTAAGCAACGGCGGTTGAGAATGGACAGCGCATCTCGTTTATCGTTTTTTTTTCAGTGCGCATGACGGTTGTTATGAAAATCCTATTGTCGAGCATAACGAACATATAACGATGTCTTGAGCCGTCCGTTGCTTTTGTGTGTCGAGAAACAACTAGATGGATCAAGTAATTACGATGTAACAATCTTTTCTCACGAAAAGAAATAGTTTTAAAAAAAGAGGGGATAGTACAGGGAAGCGAATAATATTTTTGAATAAAAGATTAAAAAGTAAATTTCAAGATTAGTACATCTGTAAAATGTTCAATCATAGCTAATGCTCGCTGTTGTAATATTCAGTAATAATTAAATGTATATGAAAAATATTAACAAAAATATTGTAACGATAAGCATAAGCTACCTGTGGCAATTGTAATAGACATGTGAGGCTTTGATATTTTTATACAAGGTAATGCCTTGCGTTAATCGTAATTTTTCTACAGTCGCCTTTGTTCCTTTTGTCTCTTTTGATCATCGTTTTGTACCTTATTTTGATACACGCGCGTGCATCATCGCTCGAAAAACAGCTCGCGACCGAGAAATAACTTCCCTTTGTTCCACACTAGGCTCGCGGCCGAAACGATAAACGGAGGGACGAGCGTTTGAATCGTAGATTGTGCGTTATCTTGTCGGAATAATGGCCGTTTAATCAAACTTTCCCCGTCAAATCCGCAATTAAACCTGCTATTGATATATGTCGGGGTCGTCCGTGTGCGCGATAAACTCAAGACCCTCGTAGCGCTTGTCGCTCTTTCGTTTGAGTAACTCATCGTTTCGATTGAATCTTTCGAGCTATACCAGCGACTCTTTTACTCGATTAACGTTACTCAATTAGCATCGATCGCTAGTTTCTCCCAATGTTACAATCAACGCAAAAAATCCTGTATCGCGCATACAAAGAAGTAAAAGTAAAACGAGAAAATTGGCTCTGCAACAAAACTTGCCGAGTGAAATTTCTTGGGGGAAATGAGCGTAGTATATTTCTCGTCGACAAAAATGTAAAATAAAAATCTGAGCACTTATACGCGATCGATATCTGCAATTCAAATTTATAGCGTTCTACGAGGGAATTTGTAACGAACAATTTATGTTAAACATGCGTATACCGGACTTCGTACCGAAGAAGTCAGTTACTGTACACTGTTGGCTTATTTTATGCACAGATAACTATGATTAACATTAAAGCGATGTCGGCTGCATTCAGAGGATAGACGCAGCTGGTCACTTGCTACTCGCGGTGAAACAAAAATCGTTACGATTATACGCATGGTGTTGAACGAGCGATAGCTACGCTTCATTAAGGATAAACGACAAAAAGACCTTTTTACGTGTTCCTCGTGAGAGAATGCGGCTGGCTCTCGTGTAATCAATCGTTGCGAATTATACGTGTAATACCGAGCCGGTTAAAACGCATAACTTTCGATCAATGCGAGAACAAGGGATCCTCGGATGGCCTTCCGATGGCGATTTTCAATAAGCGATTGGTGTCTGATCACTTGAATGTAATAGGCTAATTTAAACTTCGACACGTTCATCGAGCCCGATTACATTCAATATGACAGCACACGCGATGAAAAAAAAAAGTAATAGCCCCTTTCTCGCACAATATTCTCCCGAAAAGAATTTTTTAATCGCAAAATACTGTAACAAAGCGCACATTGCGAATCAAATAAATTTAACAATGAACATATAATTCAGTTCGTTTCAAATAGTTTTATACTGTGCTTAAACTCCTTCTTTCTCATTTTGAGACAACGTAAAATCAATCAAACGAGTTTGACAAAATAATCCAGAACTAAGAGCCCGACACGCTGGATTCGCAGTGACGTTTGCAAACTTTTAGAAATAATTCAATGTTGCGTAAGATTATCCGATTCATTTCGACGTACCTTTTCTGCGGCGATAAGTTTGCGTTTCGCGTTTTCCAAGAAGCTATTAATCTAGATTAGACGTTATCTTTTGTGGAAGGCAAATTGTTAAGATGAACAAAGAGCCAAGTCACGGTGAGGCGAGGGAAAAGCTATCCAAGTGACCCGAAACACGCGTAATATCGCAAAGGGTAATGAACACAGTCTCGTACTAATTATGCTCGCGAGGCGCAACCGTGGAATTATATACGGGTGGTTATATAAACCGTTAATTCTTATCCGCGTACACGCACGCGCGCGCATACTTCCGTCTGCCTATTCTTTCGTTGCTTTCGTTTGCTCCGAACACGCGCGCTATTCGCGGCACCGTGAAACCCAAGAGGAGACAAGGGGGCAAAGAAAAGATTATCCCGGCTGTGTGAGGCTTAAAGTCGTTACGGTATCTAATAACGCGGAACGTTTTCGGCCACGTTCGCGAATCCGGTTTTCTATCTCAAATGCGCGAGGTAGGTGTGAATTAAAACGCGCTTCCGCACGCTTACTTTCCCAAAGAAAGAGAGAGAGAGAGCGAATAAAAACGATCATTCGATCCACCTAAACGACGTGGAAGATATTCAATTAGGTTGCACGAAATAGTAATCGTTTCGAGAGATAGATCTGCGTCGAGGAGTCACAAGCGCCAAGACTTGGCAGCATTAACACGGCCGCGGAAATAAAATGTGTTTCGCGAAATTCGCACGCAACCGCGAGTCCCCTCTGCGAACAATGTATAATTATCATTGGGATTATTCGCAGTAAGTAGCTTCGTGCCTCGATGTCCCAGACACGATCCGAGTCTACACAAATAAATCGCGCGCATATTTGCGTACAGTAGCGTGACGTAATGCCGCAAAATCGCACATACTGATATTGGAATTTGTTTATTCTTCTTGTTAGCTCAAGAGAAAGACGTAGCGACACCGCGTCGCGAGGTCGACACGCGAGAAGCGGTTTCACTACGTAACCTAACCTTGTTAAGGACACGTTTGTTTGGTGTGCATTAGCGAGACTCGCTCGTTAATTCAATTCCTTGCAGCCGAAACGGTCTCGTTGACTCGTCAAACCGTATACGTTACGAAGCTCGGTAACATGTATAAAAAAATTCAGACAGAAAGGTTAACGAAAAAAAAATGGTTAATCGATAATTGGATTTCTGATATCCTATATGTTATAAGGGAGAGAAATACGATTGGCATGCAAATTCCCCAAGCCTCCGCCGTCGCGTACAAATAATTCACCTCGCTCGATCGGATGAGATCACTCGACGAACGAAATCACTCCGGCGTTATCACTATTATCACAGCTTACTGTAATCACCACCACCGTGGAGAAGAAACTCCAGATTCCCGGCGTGTGAAGAACCGTCGCACGTAACGGCACGCTATTTTTACGAGAGCACTTCAACGGCCGCACTTTTCCGATATTCCTCCGTCGAGCTGCTCGAAACGGCGCGGCGCGGCGGCTCGCATTATCGTCTCTCGCTGATAAAGAGTTCGGGCGTGATCGCCGATCTTCGCGGGCCCGTAAAGGCCCGGCACGGAGCGCGGAGTGTCGAAAAGTGCCGCAGGCACCGTAGGAAGGAGTAGGAAAAAAACTGCTCGCGGAGCACGGCGTGATGTAGCCTGGAGTGGCACGGTGCACGCACTCGTGACACACGGTGACGCACACGCAAGGCGTCACTAAGATGCGTGCGCGCGCTCCTCTCGTTCGGTTCCGACTCGACTCGGCTCGACTCGGCCCGACTCGGCCCGGCCCGGCTCGGCTCGGTTCGGCTCGGCTCGACTCGGCCCGGCCCGGCTCGGCTCGGTTCTCGCCGCGCCGTTCGGTTGGCGAGAAAACGCGGCACGAAACGAAAAGTGGCTCGAACGAGAGGCGCGCGCAACGACGGCAACCGGACTGCCACGCTCGACGACCGGGGCGACCGGGGCGACCGGCGAAAGCGAGTCCGGCGTTCGTGACTCATGAGCCGATCAGCTAGCCAGCCGGCGCGCGTACGGCCGGCCCGTTCGGACCTCGGAGCGTCCACCATCGTAGGACGAACTCGAAGTGCAAGTGCCGATAACAGTGCCGCTCGCTCCATCGACGACGCCCGACAACTTGTCAGGCTGTCTAATCGTAAATTTTACCGCGACATTTTTATTTTCACGATAACGATATCTCTCTCAGGGGCAAACTGGGAGATATAATGTTAAGGATCTCAAGTAATATGAGCATTTGCGTGGATTATCGTATTTCCTTTTGCTTTAATAACGAATTTTGCAGTATTAATACATTTCAAAGTGTTGCTTAATCTAAAAAATTATATTACATTTTCCATTTGTAGGGACAAAATAGATTCCCGAGCCCTATTTGGTATTTTGCGACCACGTGTACGCTTCGCGATGTCATTATTCCATTTAGCATTCCCTTAGGACACTCGGCATGGAATAAAAATAAATGTATGAAATAATTTAAAATTATATAAATTATTTCCAATTTTCTAAATTTCAACTAACTGATTCTGTATATACCGTTCTAATCGAACATCTGAATGATTATACAGTTTTTACAAATATAGAACTCTAAATTTGATAACGCAAATTTACAGCTGAAGAATAAACCATCTCAAGAGAATCATGTATCCGCTTTGCAGCATCATTCGTAAATCCACATGTGTAAAAAGAAGAGAGAAATGAAAAAACGATCGCACATTTTTGCAGCTAAACACTTTTTTTTAAATATTTCGCACTCTTTCTCTCGCACGTGATTTTTCAGTGAAAACTGATCACCTTACGCGAATCCGATTTTCGCAATCAACTCACAACTAATCGCATCCGCGCAGCACCC